CATCAATGTACATTATATTTTGATTTTACATTTACTTGTGCTTCATATGTGGCTTGCTTAAGGGAAAGGGAAAGTGTGTGAGCCCAGGGAAAGTGTGTCAGCCCAAATGCCATGGCTGGGCCAATAATCAAAAGAACTTAGCTCTAAATAGTATTTCGACAGCAGTTAATTTATACCAGAGTGATTTCTGTAGCCCAAAGACTAACACCAATTTATAGAACTGTTGGACCACGAGCTCTCTGTTTCAGTAGCAGCGTCCCCAGACGCAGTAGTAAAGAGAAAATCCCAAGAGAGAGCTCTGTCTTCTTTCCGAGGTGTGGTTGCCCTTTTAATGTCCATGCTGCTGAAGGCAACAGGGTGAGGGTCATACCCTGAGTATGCAACCATGCCTGGTTTCCACCTCCACTAATCCCTCGTGTAGCCTGGCTTTTTCCATACTATGTTGTACTCAGATGCATCCTTTGCATGTTTTATGACTCTCCCATGACCCTAAAACACAGTAGTTACTTTGTGTGCCATTTCCAGTTCAAACGAGCTGAAGCAAACCGAGGGCGGAATTGCAACACTTCAGTGCGTTTTTGCAGCATGAATCTAAGGGTATGTATATTTTGCAAGTCCTGGGATGTGGTGTACGGGTCATGAAGGTGCAAAGCCTGCTGGGGTAGTGCTGGAAGGAAGCGAAAGTAGTAAACCTCGTCTATATGTCTGCTTTGAGTGGTCCCTGGAGAAAACTATCCCTTGAAGTGGGCACTGTCTTGAGAGCAGTGTCACAAAACAGACAGGGAGAGAGGCAGCAACTTAACAGCACAGTCAGTCACCGATTTAGTGCTTGAACATGCTCCCTTGTCCTGATTATGGGCAAAGCAGCAAGCTTTACTAAGATGCTCCCACAAATATCTGCGTTCATGTCACAGTGAAACAGAAAAAAAAAAAACATTTTTATTGTAATGAGGAGTCTGGAATTAGTTCTGATTTTCATTACTCACTCCAGTGTCTGTTCTGCTTTGAAACTTCTGTTTCCATGAGTGCGGGGAGATTTGTATATTTCTGTAATTCTGAAAAGCAATATAAATTGTGAAAATAGATTTCCCAGGCTCTCAAAGCAATTGTTATCTTGGAAGCAGAGACAACCTTGAATGAAATATGTGAGGGGCAGAATGAGGCAGAGAGGGTGAACTTCATCTTGCTGTTCTGCCTTCTGTTGTCGTATGACCTACAAAGATAAGAGCGGGGCAAGAAAAAATGGTATTGTTCATGCTAAATTAGTCCCGAGATGCTTCTGAACAAAGATTACTAACCGAACCACATGTTTTGATAGTGATTAGATGGTAGTGTTTTGTTTTTGACCAATTTTCTCTATAGTGGGAGCTGAAGTGAGACCATATGTTTTATGTGTTGTAATAACCTTCTCTTAAAATTTACAGAGCTGGCGTTAGATTAAAACACTCAATTTGAAGAGAAAGCTAAATATTTAAGAGAGAGATATTTTAAAAGAGACAGACAAATTAAACCAGCAAGCATTAGAAAACCTGCTACAATGTTAAAAGACTCAATTGAAAATGTCATCTGCTCATTTAAATATGGAATGCTAATAAGCCCATAATTTTATTATGAGTACATGCTATTATGAGGACATCATCCAGTCATATATGTAAATGTATTTTTAAAAATTATCAGAAACCGTTAGCAAGATAGATGTACTACAACAAATCTTTAACACTGTTTTCATGCATTTGCCACCCTTTTTAAAACCCCTTTTCTCCCTTCACAACCTTGTGAATTGATGCCCATTAGTATTTGAAGTTTTCAGGGGGTTTTTGTTTTCTTCAGAAAGCATAAGGAGAAATTTTTCCTAAAGGTTCTGTTCTCTAACATGAATTTCTCTTCACCTGATGCAAGTATTTTTTTGCTAATCCACACTTTCTCCTCTGACCTAGTCTGTCTGTTATTTATTTGACAGAGTAGAGGGTTTAACATCCTAGCTCGGCCATATTATGCTATAGCTCATGTACTAGAGAGCTGTCGGCACGTCTAGCCATGCAGAGTTATTGTAAATCTTACCCACAGTTGGCTGCTCTTCCCAGTGCAGCTCCTCAGTTGAACATTTCAGCCTTTTTTATACTGAAATGTTTAAACTTCAATTTTTATAGGGAAATAACCCACATCATAGATAAATTGCTTGTGATAAATAAGGCAGAATTCAGATTATAAGGAATCTCCCAAGAAAAATGTCATCAGCTGGATATCTGTTGGGTACCTAATTTTCATCATTTATATACATAAATTTTCTTACACCCTTTCCAAATATCTATATATTTTCTAGACAGGCAACATAATAGCATGACAGTTTTTGAGATTGAAGCTTCTATTTGGAGGCAGACTGGGCTGGAGAGAGCTCAACTCAGCTGTCCCCACATGGACCTCTTGTGTTATAGCCTAGGTGATATAGACTCTTCAACACATCAACATAGGACTGCCAGATATGACAGATATGATCCAAGGAGACTCATGCTCTTTTGAAGATGAAGCTGTAGACCACTGAATATTCTAGAGTATCTCAAATGGTACTATGCTTCAGCAGCTGAATTAAGCCTCAAGAGCAGGAGTCCTCAAACTACTTCATCTTCTCATCCTCAACTGGGCAGCAGCACTAATAAGAGCAAGGCTACTACTTCATTTATTTCTCTTCTTTGCTCTCTCTCTCCTTATGAACTCAGATGCTAATGGTGGTTTTAGTCCTGCAGTAATTATTACTCTGACCTGGAGCACAAACTCATTGAGTAGAGTCAACTAGTAATGATTTTCAGTCACAAGTGATTTGAGTGATTTTGAACCAGTGACCTAGCTTTAGAGGAGAAAGTTGTTATAATTATTCCTCTGAGCAATTTTCTTTCCCCTGAACCACCTCGTTTTACTATTCTTCTCACAATTTCATAGCTGAAACAGGGGTTGTATGTCTGAAGGCAAGTCTAATTGATAGTTGCTCCACTATGTTTACACATGAAATGGAGATAACTCTGCTAATGGAGATGTGAAGTGGTAAATTCATCCACCACAGAACTACGTCCAGGTTAACCCATCCATACTACTGACAAGCTAATGTATGTCCAGTTGCAATTGATTAAAATCTACATGAAGTTTAGTTGTGATAGTGGGATTTACTGCAGCAGTTCTTTGCTGTTTCAGGCGTCTCTTCACTACACTCTGTTTTACTGTATTAGATGGATTGCCAGGAATTTGCCCTGTGTGATCTTATGTCATGGGTCCTGCCCCATTTTGGTACCTATTTAGGAAGTGACAACTTATTTATCAGGTTGACAGTGGTCATGGCACGTGCATATGTACGTGTGCTTGTGTGCATTTCTGTGATGTTATTAGGAAAGCCGTTCAAACACTAAGTGCTGGAAATCTGAACTTCCCCAAAGTTGTCTCAAACTGACATTTTTCTACTTCTAGAGATATCTAGAGAAGATATTAACTTCCAAGAGTTTTATTCTTTTGACCTTCAGCTTCTGGTAAACCAGAGGGTAACATGCATGAACTCTACTGCCGAAAGCCCTGGAAAGGGCTATAGGATAAAATCTTTGGAAACATTAAGAATTTATATGCATGAATAAAAGTTACATTCTTTTTAAGTGACAAGATCATCATCATTACCTTCCTTTTGGAAGATACAGCTTCCAAACACTAAATTCATTTTTGGCTGATGGAACTGTACAACATGGGACCACAGGGAATGCCCAGCTGCACCCACTTTTTCATGATGGCAGTTTGTGCATTGAGAAGACTTGAGGCAAGACGTCCTTACTTCCTAATTTGATGGGATGCCAAAGTCCCAGATCTGGCTGGTGTGATTGCGGACTGGTGCACAGCTTGTGCAAAGCTAGGGATGAGCTTGTTTGGCTAAGTCACATTAGTGTGCTGAGGGGCTGTTTATGCCCAAATTTGTGCCACTGAAGAAATTCTGAGGAAAAATGGCCTGCATACGTCCACATAACAGGGGCTACATTATGGAATAAAAGATGCTTTGTATGATTCTGTGCAGGCTACTAGAACAGTTTGGCATTGTTTTTGTTTTGTTTTATTTTATTTTATTTTGTTTTGTTTTGTTTTGTTTTTTAATGTTTGGGTGATCAGATTAATAGACTTAACAGAAGCGGAACTTCAGCTGTTCGCCAACACGGACAATGAGGCTCTTAATGAGAACGAGGTCAGATCTGCCAACTGCAGCGATAAAACAAAGGAAGCCTAACGGTGCTGTGCAAACAAAGCCGAGACAAGCAGAGTGAATCAGTCTTGTTATTTATGTGAAGAAGCCATTGAATCAGACAAATAATGCTATCTGTGAAACAGAAATTGGAGGCCAGGTTTCTTTTTTCATTTTCTTTCAAGTCTCCACTAATGCTGAAAGCCATGCTCACATTTCTCTCTTTATCTCACTAAACTCGGATTTTTTTTTCCTGCACACTTGAGTGGGGCAATTACTATGTATTACTATACGTTTCCTCAAGCTAATCTTTGGACAGAGCCTGAGGGACAAGACATATGATACTAAAATGGAGTATAGATGAACACCCAGAAAAGATGAGATGCTTATAAAATGCCCGAAGATTAACTTCTTTAGTTTGAACTTATCCTAAATTACTTTGTTGTTGCATTGGACTAAAAAGATGCCCTTCTTTTGACAGTGCCATTGATACTTCTTTAAGCAGAACAACTCAGTCTGCAAGTATAGCAGTTCAGGAACAGCACTCAATGAATGACTCACAGAATCATCTTTTTCAGGATTCTTTCTCCTGCATTTCTCAGCTCCTAAAAATTATTTTAAATAGTTCAGCTAGCCTCAGCAGATCTTTCCTGGAAGTGAGGAGCATACAATTGCCTTAGGCAATTAAAACAGGTAACTCTTTAAAACTCTTTAAAACTCTTTATGTATTCTGGATTCTGTTTTAATATCATGTCATGAGGCACTCTTGACATTTACCTACATTCATTTCCAGGAGGAAGGTAAAACTCAGGATAGTCTGAAGTGAAAAATTATCAAATGTCATAGCTAGAGCAAACCTTGTTCCTGTTGAATGTTGTACTGTTATACCATGAAGTCTATGACAGCCTAGAGGTCTACAAAATCTAGAAGTCTAGTCTGAAAGGTCTATGATAAGTGAATCATATAGGGAAAAAAAAGGGGATGAGGGCTTGAGAATGCAGAGTCTTTACCAAATCTGTAAAAAAAAATCCTTGCTTTTACACATTGGACAAACTCATCTGAGTCAATGGACACTGTACTCATCTTTTAGGTAAACTGCTGTCCACGGAAATTGCTTTCAGTAGCAGGAAAAGTAGATTTTGAGACTTGTAAATATGCATTAGCAATTAGGAACATTTTAGGCATATTTATTTTTCTTTTTTTTCAGTTGAGATATTGGAAACAACTAAGCACCACAGCATTTACCTGACATTTTAGGCCCCATAGAGTTGTTGGATCACTGGTGTGGCTTTGAACATCTGTGTGCAAATATATATATAAACACACATCTGTGTGTTTATATATATATGTATGCATATATGTGTGTGCCAGTCCGTGAAGGCAAGAGTTGGGAAAAACCTCCAGCTGGGAAAAACTCAGATTTATTTCATTCTGTTATTGCAGAAAGAATGTGGATGTTATAAGGAAGCATTCAAATCATAACTGGAGTCAAGGAAGAGAGGAAGGGAGCAGAGCTAGTAAGAGATTTAGGCCTAGGAAACTTAAAGGCCAAGGTCAAGAAGGAGTTGAGATACAGAAGGCAGTGGCAGTGATATTTCACCTGCTTTCATTGAATTTTAAAAGATATTGACATATTAAGCATATTTTTATTTTATATCACAGTAATGCTCTGGGCCTTTTTTAGATCTTGCAATGAACCATGTTTTTTAATTAAACTTTTATATTTTGAGGAAAATATCTCAGAAATAATTTCACCAATGAATTCTCCATGTAAAGTTATTTCACAATGAAAATGTGTCTCTATGTCGGTGAATTAAATAGGCCAAGACTCTCCCCAGAGGAATTTTTTATTGTGAATGCAACTACACAATTCCATTAAAACTGGCAGTTTATATCTGACATTCATTAAATTGCAATTTCTGCATATTGTTAGGATTGGTGTTTTAAGTTAGTTGGTCATGGCCTAATAATCATTGATTGTATATTGAGGTCCCCGGGTCTACAGAATAATATATTTTGATTAGTTCAGTAATTATCTATAAATGTTGTTGCTCTTTTATCTCATGTGATTCTGCTTCTGGATACAACTGTAATTCTGCACATGTATTAGTTCTTCATTAAAAGTTGCAATAAATTGTGTAGCTGGAGTGGGCATAATTGCATCTGTGGGGCATAGTGAAAGGCAAGCTAAATATGTGTATTCCCTGAGGGTAGGATTAGTCCAAGGGAAGCATTCTCCCTTGAGTCATCTTTTGTTATCAGTGTAAGTCTTCATTGTAGGAAAGATTCACTTGAGTGTAATGGAAGAGTGATATTTATCAGTTCAAAAACTGTTTAAAAAGTTAGGCAAGTTAGGCAAGAGAAGTGAGGGCAAGATAATTTAACTCCATACATTGCACACTGCCCTGTATGAGCATGTATGACACAGAAGAAAATGTCCTCTTGCAGAAGTTGTAGTGCTTCTAAATTCTGCTCTATAGCTGAATTCTAGTAAACAGATTCCAGTTTTCACTTTAGTACACATTTTAAGAACAAGAATTTAGCTATAGGCATCTGTATGCATAAATAGGGCACTTGGGGATTTTAAGAAGTGCCCAAGGGCCTACCTTTGCTGATCTTGATGTTTAAGAACTAATTAAACTTTTGCTGACTTTGGAATGTGCGTATCTAGCTTTAAGAGCCTGGCCTCCAATCTGCTGCTCAAGTTCACTCATCTAAAAATAAGACAGGAAAAGCCATTCTCATATAGAGAGTTATATGAAGAATGATATTAATTCCAGTTCTTTGTCAGTGGAAATGCACAGAGGGAAGATCTTTTCAGAACCTCCTGAGTTTAGATGTATGATTTATTACACTGGGGTAGGGCGCGATTCTCGTGTGTTCAAGTTTTATGTTGAAACAATGCCATGAATCCGATAGATTTGCAGTTTCACACTAATGTAGTTAATCTTGATGATTTAGAACAGTACACAAACTCAAGTAGACTGGCAGACTAGATTGCGTAGGAAGATAGTTTCCTCAGTTCACTTATTCTTTTTGATTTTGTAACCAAAATGGAGATAAATATGCAATTAGTTTAGGAGGATAAACAATTTCTGCAAAGATCCTACCATCATTATTCCATTGAAACAGAGATTTTTACTGGAATAAAGTTAATCATAATCTCTCTGCTATCTTCCAGGGTACTTGGCACCCATCCTCCAACGAATGAAGCAAGAGTAAGCACGAAGTTAAAACTGACAGCAGAGACCATCTCCTGAGACAGTTCACCAGTGCATCAACAGTCACACAACTTAATAGGCACTCAGATGCCAGAGCTTTATTCAGGTTCATTGATGATATTGATGACTAAGGAGACTGGATCAGTGGATAGTTCCACTTCCTTCAAACTACCAGCTATGTGCCTTTGCTTGCAGCCGTTGGGGGAATGTGCAACCTAGCCCTGTAAAAGTTCGGATCCCTATTTTCCACTAGTTACAGGAGTAGAAGCCGCTGAAAAGCAAGACTAAGCAGGACTGAGAGGTATGCCCTTACAGGCATGCCCTCTTTTAGTAGATGGAGGTCTGCAATAGGGTATTTTCTTTATGATTTCCTGACTATGCTGGGATACTTGCCAAAGCTAATGTTTTGTTTCAGAGACACAAAAGCCCTTTAATTAAATGTTGGGTTGCCAAAGGTTAGGATAGATTTTTTTTTTTCTTTCCAGTTTTCAAAAATAGGAGACAGAAGGATCCTATTAGCATAATAGAAGGAATGAGCACTTCATGAAGTCAGGGAGAAAACATTACCTAGCACATATAGCGATTCACAGGAGGACAAAAGAAACTTTGGCTTCTAAAAAGTACTTTTTGAAACTCTGGAAAGGGTCTTCAATACCAAAGGAATTCCTACAGGCAGAATACTTGGAACCATGCCATAGCAGTGCTATAGTTTAGGCCTAAGAAGATACGGCAGACATGAATAAATGAAGAAAAACATTACAGTTTAATCCTTTTAGAGCTCTGTAGATAAGGTGCCTGATTTGTTCAGATTTTTATTTATTTATTTATTTACTACAGTCTGATAAATAGTTGATTCTCACTTTTCTCTGTCTTAAAAAGAAGTTTAATCAGAGAGTCAAATTTCTGTATGTCCAGGGAAAAGAAATGCTGTTACAGTAGCACAGTTTGTACTTCAAAAAATATACAGGTAAATGGTGTTTGAGATTGCTCCAGTTGCAGAAACTGTTGATAAACTTTACAACATTTTTTGCTTGTTGCTTTTGGAATGCAAAAGATTCTTGTAGAAACAGCTCTAAAAGATAAAGTTGCAAATGTGAAGTTCCCCTTTGGCTTCCACACAGATGTGTCTGAAACATGACCTTTCGAACTTGTGCTTCATTACCTCAGAGTGGCATGAAGGTCAACTTCTTGAAGTCAAGGCAGGCACTACTTTATTCCAGAATCTCTCTCTTCATCATAAACCCCTCCCACAGTGCACACATATTCTCCGAGCTTCACAAAAGGCCCATATCAATTGGAGCACTTGGCCTCAGACACTGTTTTAAGAAGTGAGAGTTGTTGACTCATTATATGATTGTAGTTTTCTAATACATGGATGCCTTCACTCTCATCTTTTTCACTAGAATCTAAAAAGAATGATTTTTTTTTTTACTTCGAAGATATCTACTGCCCCACTGCTCTCGAGGAAATTCTTTCTATTATGCACAAATTTGTTGCTTTGTTTTAGAGCTGTTTTTCTGATGGCATTATATAATAATCTCAAATTTGTTTCATATGAAACTACTTCACAACCTTGATCTGATTTTTCACAGATCATTTCACAAAAGCACGCTCTGGATTTTTACTTGCCTCAGCATAAATGTCAGCACTGCATGTTTCTCGTACTCAAATGAGCATCTGCAGTTGAGGAAATGCAGAAACAGAGGGACGCTATCATAACATCAGCATAAATGGCTAAATATTAAATAGTATCCACTGTACCACATTTAAAACACAGCTTTCTCCTCTGCTGGATGGTTGCTCTGGGAGCGAAAGGTAATGTAACTTTGGCTATAAATTCTCACTTCGCCGTGGAAAAGAAAAAGAGAGGGCAACAAAAGAACGATTTAGAACTTTGTCCAAGTTTCCACAGACCTGAGTAGTACTTTTCTTCCTGTCAAAAAAAAAAAAAAGACAATATCCTGCACTACATGTTTTGAAGGCAGGCTCCTAAATCCATAGTTCTCTTCCAAATTCTAATATAGTCAAGTGTCAGAGCTTGCCAGGACCTTTCTTACAGTGCTTGTTACAGCAGTTTATATGCTCCTGAAGTTATCTTTTATTTTCTTGTGTCTTGCAAACTCTTCTTTGGCATGTTCACTATTGATATTAGTTAGGCTTATGTGTGTAAAAACTTCTACTCAAGATTGGCAAAAGTGATGAAATCTGGCCTGGAATAAAGAACAGTCTTTTTGGTGGGCAAAAGAACCCCACCAAAACTCAAAAGTTGGTTGAACTTACCAGGCACTAAAGATTACTTGCCATAAGTACTGGCAAGCGAGCCTTTTGGAATGGATTATTTATCTCAGCCTTATATAGAGACTGTTGTGTAAAATTAGATATTGCATCACTATGCCAGTGAACGCCAGTGACAGCTGTACAGCCTCCTGAAAATCAATTTCTTTTTTGAGAATGAATTTCTTTTTGTTAAAAAATCTCAGAAAAAAAAAGTGTAAACTTTCTGTTATGCACATTAAAGTCACGATGGTTAACAAATCAATTAACAAATTAATGTTAGTAATTCCTATCTGAATAAATCTGGCTAAATAATTGTTGCAAGACATCATTCATTTGTATTGCTCTAGAGACTATATA